AAAAATTTGGTTTTCCAGAATGGTCGTTTTGAGGCAGTTGAGGTCCATGTATGTTCTCCTGGACTTGCCCACGATCTTCATGTTGCAAATTCAAACCTGATGGATGGCTTATTACGGTGACGATCGTGCCAGTATCTCGTAGCGCTTCACTCCTTGAATCTCGATGCTCATGATCGGCGTCGATAGTCGTATTAGTGCTGTCATCATCAATGGATTCACCAGATACCGACATTTCTGATATGCTCTCTTGACTTTCTCTTGACTCTCCTTCATTGTTGTTTGACTTTTTCCGCTTTTTCGAGAAGTAATCCAATACTGTTTTATTCATTTTTCACACTGACAATGTCAATGGAAGCCATATTGAAGTGCTTCCACCTTCCACAAATTGAAGTGCTTCCACCTTCCACAAAAAATTTTTACTTCCTTGGCGCTAGGGGGGGCCTTGCCCCCCCAGGCCCCCCCTCAGCTCCGGGCCTGCAGAGTAGCGAGCGAAACATGATTGATATACCTGGTTGCAGTGAACGAACAAACTTTATATATTTAAACTATTACCCTGCAAGAAATGCAATGAATGTCAGTTGATGCTCATTGAAGATGATTCTCAGCGTATGGGATGTGCATCATGTCTTTCAGTTTGGTGTAGCTCGTGTGGATGGTCTGAAGTCTTTTATACCTCTGAAAAGCTTGGCCATTGTTTTTAAATAAACAGAAGAATGACCTATGCCATGAAGTTGATTGGTTGTGGGTTAGCAGCAATGCAGATGTTTTGTTCTACCATGAACATGCCACCGCCAGTTAACCCTAAAGCGTTTGACTACCATAACAAAGCTATATTACGTGCTGTAAAAGATGTTGCAGAAGAAACCATGAATGATGCAGCCCAAGAAATCCACAAATTGAACAGTGCAGAAGTTGATGAAGATGGAATTCTGAAAACATCTGTTTCATGCGATGGAACGTGGCAAAGCCAGGAGGGGTTTTTCGTCACTGCATGGTTGCGTTACTGTTATTTCCATGGGAACAGGCAAAGTTCTTGACATTGAACCTTTAAGCAAAGTATGTAATAAATGCAGGAAGCATGAGGGAAAGAATACAACTAGAGAAAATGAACTTTGGAAAGCAGAACATGCACCAAAATGCAAAGCAAACTATAGTGGTTCAGCACCAGCCATGGAACCAGAAGGGACGAAACGAATTTTCAACCGCTCAGTAAGTTCCCACAACCTCATGTATGATACATTATTTGGAGATGGGGATAGCAAAAGTTTCAGTGCTATAGAGAACACCTACAAGGAGGAGTATGATGTAGTGGTAGAAAAGAATGAATGTGTCGGACATGTCCAGAAGCGGCTTGGGACGGCATTACGTAAACTAAAAAAGGAGAAGAAAGGATTGGATGGAAAAGGAAAATTAACTGATAGTATGATTGATAAGATGCGAAACTATTATGGCATTGCTATCAGAAGCAATAAAGTCAGCCTTAACACAATGAAGAGCAATATACTTGCCACGCTTTTTCACTGTGCTTCAAATGACGAGCGACCATATCATAGTGCATACTGTCCTAAAGGTGAGGATAGCTGGTGTGGTTACCAAAGGGATAAAACCAAGAACACTAAAACGTATAAACATGGGAAGGGATTGCCTCGGGAAATCATTGAGGAATTAAAACCTGTTTATGCCCGTTTAAGTGAAGATGACCTTCTGAGAAAGTGTCTTGACGGGAAAACTCAAAACCAAAATGAGGCGTTTAATGGAATGATTTGGCAAAGAATTCCGAAGTCCGTCTTTATTGGATCTAATTCTTTCAAATTGGGAGTGTATGATGCTGTCGCTCACTTCAATATTGGTGAAGAGGCCACTATTAAGGTTTTAGAGGCTTTGGAAATGAACCCAGGAGTCCTTAGTCACATAGGAGTATCTCGAGCAGATTGCCGTCGGGTAAGCAAAGCAAACTATAAGGATAAAGAATCCACTAGAATGCGGCGACGACTGCTTAGAGGTCAAAATAGAAAGTTAGGAGACAAGAACAAGAAGAAAGAAGGTGAAACATATGCTGCTGGTTCGTTTTAAGAGGTTCTATTCCTTTTTTTCATTGGCAATTCACTGTGGTTAATGACAAATAATTTTTAAAAAACTTCAAGCTCAATTTTCTCAAATTGACCTTTTGCGAAATGCCAAAAACCCTCCTGACTTTAATATAAATCCAATCAGTTTCAAACTTTCAGTAATATATCATTACTAATGCAGCCATGTTGTGAACCCAAAAAATTTCATACCTGAAAAAATAATCACCATGTAAAGCCCTATTGTTTACCTTCCATTATACCGATTTTAGACTATTTCCATTAAATATTGAAAAAAAATTGGCATATGCCCTTAGATAATATTTTTTTTAGGTTCAGAGCATAGACCCATTCATTGGGAATCCAAAAAATGTGTTTTTAAATCTCTATCAACTTTACTTTTAATGTAATCATTTTTGCCGCAACCACCTGATATTGCGCAATAAAATGGCGTTGCATGGTAACCATGGCAACAACACATGTATAAGTGACTGATTCAGTGTCAGCGACTTATCCTTAACAACTTGAAACCTAAATATAGTGTAATACTCCAAAAGATAAAAAAAAATTTTCCAAGGTATAAGACCACCTTAAATAGCAATACAAGTTTCTGGATGGGTCGTTCTAGAACAGATCGATTGCGTATTCTTTTCCCGTTTCTGGTTAATTGTGCATCGCCAACGACAACTTTCACTTTACGCACCAGTCCATCTTCATCTTGATACGCTTCTTCCACTCGTGCAGTTTTCCAATGATTACGGGCGATTGATTAGTCCTTCAGCAAAACGATATCTCCAACTTGACCATCCGATCGTAATGTCCAGCGATCACTTGATTGTTTTGGGATAAGCATTTCAGAGATATAGATAGGGGCAATGTTATTAAGAGCCATGTAAACCAGTAAAGCAATTTTGAATTCCACCCGGAATTTTACCGGTAGCCAGTGAAGTGATCTCCAAACTGGGGTGATGTGAGAAAATCTTGGACAGTGGTAGATTAGTCTAGCAGCGGCATTAAGAACTCTCTGCATTCGCTGGACTTGATACTGAGGTATGCCAGCCAACAGAGCATTACAATAGTCCACGTGTGATGTCACGAAAGCATGTATCAAAGTTTTCGTTGTATTAGTAGATAAAAATTTTCTAATTTGTCGTATTTTATAAAGTCCTCTGAATGCTTTACTGCACATCTTGCCTACATGAACTGACATTGACATATGCTTGTCAAACCAAGATCCCAAATTTCGAACACTGTCAACCGGCTTAATTTGGACCCCACCAACGTTAACGGATTCAATGTTTATTTTCAAAAGTTGTTGTGGTGTACCAATTACAAGAAATTCCGTTTTCGAATCTTTGAACATTAATTTATGAGACAACAGCCAAGTACGAACATCAGAAATACAATCTTCCAGTGCGGCTAGGGTACTTTCTGCATTATCTTCACAATCTGGGCGAAAGGATACATAAAGTTGCGTGTCAACAGCATATCCATGAGAAGAGGGTAAGTGCCTGTCAATAATGTCATATAGTTGGGATACATAAAGCAGAAAAAGTATGGGGCCAAGACAACTCCCTTGAGGCACTCCGTACTTAACATCGCAGTCTTCAGAAAAATTGTTATCCAGATCAACTTTCTGTTTCCTGTTCAATAGATATGATTTTATCCATTCAAGAGCCCTATCCGTCACTCCAAATTGATACTCCAATACGTCAATGATAGTTTTATGATCAATTGTATCGAACGCTGAGCTTAAGTCCAAGAGTACAAGAAAACACACTTCCTGCCTGTCCATACTCAGAAGAATATCGCTTTGCACCTTTAGCAGAGCCGTCTCTGTCGAATGATATTTCCTAAAGCCAGATTGACAGGTAGGGAGAGGTGCATGTTTTTCACAATGGTTCAGCAATTGGTTGGCGGCTGCCTTTTCAGTGATCTTAGAAAGAAATGACAGATTGCTCACAGGCCTAAAGTTCTCAAATACTGGGTCCAAGCTAGACTTTTTCAGATTTGGTTTCAGCAAAGCAATTTTCCAGTGATCTGGGACACGACCCTCCTGCAAGGATAAATTTACAATTTTGGTGATAGAGGGAATTAGTTCCAGACAACAGACTTTAACTAGCCATGATGGGATCGGATCAAGCTTGCAGCTGGCACTGGACAATTGCATAATAACATCATGAATATCCTGGGAAGAAAGTATCTTAAAAGATTTTAATTTGACTTCAGGATTACGGTAATGCACCAACGGAGGATCGACATGGATACTGTCCACATTTTCTCTAATCAATTCAATTTTGCGGAAAAAATATTCGTTGAACCTATTTGCTAATTGACCAAGATCGTCATGAGGTGGTAAGGGATCTTCATGCGGTGCATTACAAAGGGAGCTCACAATTCTGAAAAGATTCTTTGGATCGTTGGAGCTATCACTGATAAGGGAAGTATAATAATCAGTTCGGGCTTTATTCAACAAGTAAGAATATCGGTTACATATTTTCCGATAGGCAGTCCAATCTACTTCTAATTTTGTTTTCCGCATCTTTCTCTCTAGTCTCCTACGCTTTACTTTCAATTGTCTTAGTTCGTCATTGTACCAAGGATTTGAACGCTTAACTTTCATTAGCTTTCTTCGGACAGGAGCATGGGTATTTAAAATACGTGAAAGTACGTCATCATAGCAATGCACTAATTCATCAAGATGTGCAATGTTTTCGCAATGTGAATTCACATTGCTTAGATCAAGTTTAAAGTCAACAATGTTAATCTTTTTCAGTTCACGATAAGAAATTAGCTTTTTGGAGTCATTCGGACGAGGAATAGACAATTTACATTCTACAAAACAATGGTCGGACAGAAAGAAAGTACTCTCAATCGAAAGGATATTAATGTCACTTGTAGATCGACTTATCAATAGATCCAGTGTATGATTGGACGAATGTGTTGGAGTACAAACATGTTGTTTGAGGTCAAATGTTTCACGCATCTCATTAAATTTTATCGTGTTTCTGTTAACCGTATCATCCAAGTGAAAATTAAAGTCCCCGGTAATCAATAGAATTTCTGGACATAGAACAATATCCTCCAAATAGTTTGAGAATTCTTCAAAGAATTTTCCAGGTAGAACAGGGTGAGCCGCGGAATAAGGTGGACGATAGATAGCAATAAGTTTAATAGAATATTCAAGTATGGAAAAATGCCACTCTGAATATTCAAAGGATTGCATTTCTCCACCACCAGAAAGAGAGACATATAAATTGGTGTTAAACATTACGCCTGTGCCTCCTCCTGATCTGTTAGATTGACGGGGAAATGATTTAAATGAATATCCAGGGAGACAAACGCCTGCAATGCTTGTTGTGTCCATGTCCTTCAACCAAGTCTCAGTTACAACACAAACATCAATATTTTGATCAACAATATAGTCGGAGAATACAGCTACCTTATTTCTTAGTGATCTAGCGTTAATCGTTGCAAAACGTAACATATCTGGTTTTGGATTTGAGACAAAATTTACACATACTAAGTTGTTGACATTAACTTTCCTTGCATGAGTTCTCGGCCTTGTCTTGACACATAAATTATTTCGACGAACTGTAATTCTAGTAGGAATTTTGCAAACAAGTTCAATAGTCGGAACAGAATTCAAATTATTTTTATTACTTCGCTGCGATATTATATTAATATTCTTTGGATAGTTAATATCAGCAGTATTGGAACTAATTACGCGTTCATTAATTGACGGACAAGGACTAGGTGATTTAGCCATTCTGGGGATCGCTGGTGGGATCGAACAATCGAGGGGGGTGGCTTCCGTCCCGGATTTTCCTGAAAAGGACGTATGAAATCAACAGGAGCTTGATGACTGTATTCTAGGGATTCGTTGAGACTGATTAGGGGTGAAAATTCTATGTCTTTAAGAACATTAAAAGTTGATGAACTGACGTTCCTCAAACTGCAGTGGTGACCATCGATAATGGGATAAGTGTCAACCTTGTTGTCGACTTCATTCATAGTAGCTGACACTCCAGGGACTTGAGGTAGGGATTTGAGTTTGGTGATATTTGGCAATTTCCTTGCATTCGAATTACCTTTCATGTGCTGACCGTCGTGAGATTTGACGCCATTGATCGGGTTATTATTATGGCTTTGTAGTAGGTCGGCTGGGCTGTTATCACTATTTAAAATTAACTGATTATCCTTAACTGATAAGTCTTCCTCGACGCGTCTATTGTTGGAAACGACTAGATTGGAAGTCACGTGCGACTTCTGTGCAAGGTCGGTCAGGGAGTTTTCCTCACCCAAAACTCGATTAAGGACAAGATTGCTTTGTTCTACATGATTGACCGCGCATTGTTTAGCGTTCTTTGTGACAGTGTTGCTAGGGAAATATATTATATAACAATTCGACCATAAAATTTATCACTGACTGTTCTGATTGCGGGCGAAATGCATCAGTCAAAGCGCATTATTTTGATCGCGGGCTAAACGCATCAGTCAGCATCCATTTCCCAACGTTACGTAGGCAAGAAAACAATGGTTTTCGTGACGTGTCGTTGGGAAAACTCGGCCAAAAGACTCGGGACCGATGCGCCACTGATGCACTTTTCTCTCCAACGTGACGTAGTGATGCACTGCCGGCCCCAACGTGACGTAGTGATGCATACACTGAACTGTAATAATAGTGGATGCATCAAACTAAACACCGACATATGTGGCGAAATAAAGTCGCGACACAAAATCGTACAACTTGATAAGTGCGAAATTTGATATGCGTTTACGTTTTTCATAATATTTTGCGAAATATAGCTGTGTTTACATTCATTCCTGTGAAAATATATTGTTTTAAAGGACGTTGGATCAAAGACAAACAATATTTAAATATATTTTAATAAAATGTTGACAATTCTCGTTCGTGTGAAAATTTTGACTGATGCATTCGCATCAGTTGCATCAGTCTGGATCCGCGCCTGTGACATGATAACACATTTTTGCTGTCAAATCAACATAATTTTGTTCTTCCCGACAAATCTGCATTCGAAGAAGTTACTTTCAATATTCCGCTTAATTGCAAACAGACATTGGAGAAAGTAAATCAGAATAATTTCATGCACGAGTACCATTCTTACCTCCAGAAGAACCTGCTTGCAATTCTATGTTTTGTCAGCCGTCCATTAGTGTGAACAGTTATATGCATATTTCAGCATTGACTGTCAGCAAATCGAAATTTGAATAAAAGTCATTACAAACATGTAATGTATAATATTTTCACAATAAAAGAACTTGCTGACAAGTGTTTCGGCAGCCATTTTATGCGTTTTCTTAAAACGTTACTTCTAAACTTTCGACTGCATTTTGCACATATATTTACGTAGCCGGTACGAGGGGCAACAAATTTTCACTCATCCTCCAGCGAGAGACATTCATTTTTCTTTACAGTGTTTATCTAAACCCTTGCAATTAGTGACAAAAAATCAGCCCATCACATTATAATAAGAACTATATAGCTATAATTATAACAATACATAATGTTGAAACTTTTACCTCTATAACAGCCATAAATTTCAAATCTCATGGATATATAGCTATACCAAGTGGTTGGTTGTATACGGATATAACGGGCAGTTATTGCAGGAGAGAAAGCATTTGTAACGATAGACTGCTGGTCACTATTTCCAATGAATACCTGTTTATGAAACAATTGACAAAAAAACAGTAGTTTGCACAAAATATTGAAGTCATTTTTTGTTGTTGGTTTTTTAAACTCTCTGCTAAACTTAATGACAACCAAGGGCGCTTTAATTTGATTGCCAGACTGATTAGACCAGACTATTTTGTTTATAGTGTATTAATTAATTAATTATTTAAAAATTCGGGTCCAGAGCTTTCGAAAATTAAGTCAAAACAGATTATACACTGAAAGTCATGCATAAACATCGGTCTTTTAAACGAGTATGTTTATCACATTCAGGATATAGTTCATAATTTCATGCAGTCTTTGATTGGTCCTGGCCGTGTATCTCAGTTTTTAGAGCGTCGTCTAGGAATTCGAAGGTCACGGCCTCGAAATCCGGCAGCAGCGGGCATGCACGGTCTGGAAATTATAAAATACTTTACTCCAGAACATTTTCTCCTTGTATACAATGTTCAACAATTATAATTATTTTTTCTAACTTTAACAGCATCATCAATTTTGTAAGGCTCGAACGCATTTCCATTGGAACCATAACACACTGAATAAGTCTTCACCCATTGGGGGTAATTAGCCCGACCTTGCGTGGCAATCGCTGTGACAACTTCTTCTCGGCCAAGATCAACTTGAATCCATTGGTTCTGATCATATAGACCTGCAGACCAGGATGATGCGCTATTCAACCTTCCTTGTTGTGGTGATAAACCTGGATTATGAACAGTTGAAGCAGTTATCTGGGAGTCCTGAATCCTTCCATTGTCCATTCCAAATGCCACTTCACCTGATTTGCAAGGTACTACACCTATTATAAATGTATTGTAACTTCATACCAACATTTAATAACCTGCAAGTAATATCGAGGTCCCAATGTAGACACATTGCGCTAATATTTCTCAACGAAATATGAATGGAGAGGGGTTAATGAAAAAATAATGAAGATTAATTAAAGCAAACGGAATTGGCGAAAAATACAGTATGCATGGTCATTTTTGTAGATGCCTCCCTCCACGAACGAATTCTTAAAAATGGCTTTGCAGAAAACAGATTTTTTGAAGCAGCTATAGGTTTAAACTTGCGTGTTGATCTAATCATCGATGATCTAATCATCGATGGCCTAATCATAAAAAAAGTTTTAATTTACATTTTTTTAATTGTGAACTTACTTGTTGGTTGAGTTGTCGGACCATCTGTCACTTTTGGTGTAGCCGAATTAGCTATGAAAAAGATCACATTAAGCAAGTTAATTGCAAACATTTGACCAACTCCAATACGATTATATTTATACGCAATGCATTGTGCACCTCAATATATATAGCAGCCATTCAAATCGCGAGTGGTACATCGCCTAAAATTCACAATGTACAGAGTGGTCAACATTTTTTTCTTAAGGAAAACTTTATTTCATTGGTCTTTTATGGTTGCCTGTCCTCGGTAAAACCATGGAGTATAGGTAAATGCTGGATATAGGCGAAACAAGCTATACCAAGCACTGGCTTTTAGTATTCGGTACACTTTATGCCCGGTATCCTTATATATCATGTGGTTTCTATTTATTTTAATTGAACCAGCTTAAAATCACATTCATTATGCATCTTGCGCTCTGCCTTACCATCAACGCTGTTTATACTATAGGTGTTCAAGAGGATTTAACTAAAACGTTATACCACGCTTTTCCAATCCGTAGCCAGTTGTACATATAGGAAAGGACATGATTGCATAGTTAAAGTTAACTGTACAGTAGTGTGGCCGGTCCGCCGCAACAGCTTATTGCCAATTACTCATGCGGGCCCAACAAGTTTTACAATCAAGCAAACAACAGACGTTCAATTGGACAGACTAACAAATAGGCTATATATATTAACAAACTATATTATAATATAGCATTTGTAAATTTTGAACGCTGATTAGGTAAGAGCCGTGTTGATATAACTCAGTCTCAACACGGAAACGTCGGAAAAGTCCATTTTTATATTTCTTTGTGCTATATATTACAAAACAAATTAAAAAAAAATTTTCCGTATTGATATACAGTTATATCAACGCTCATGGAAATTGGGAAAACTCGAAATGGTGTGAAAACACTCCGAGCTTCGGCACAGAGAAGAGATAGTACAGAGAGGAAACACGCGGCAAATTGTGTCACGCCGATATATTCAGTCTATTAACTATAGAAAATTATATTAATTCACTATTTTATTAAATTTTGACAATGCAGAGGAAAAAACTATACGTATTATAGAAGTATTCATGTTTTTTTATGCAAGAGTTATATTTTGAGGAATTTATATAATTTGCTGCTTTGTTTTTTTATATATGAGCATCTGAAACTCCCAGCCAGTGCTTTTCACGATTTTAATAAGGAGTAGATAGAGAAAAAAACAAACTTTTGGGAAATAAAATGTTATGTTAACACTTTTAATAAAACGAAATCAATAAAGGTGATCGCTTACCGTTATTCTACAGTAATTTATTGAACAAAACTTCAATGGGTATCTCATATTTAAAAAATAAAGCGATTTTTTCACCTTTCGAACGGCGTTTTCCCTATCTTTTGCTATGAAATTTCAGCGACAGCACTGGCTGGAAGATTTTGCGTAGCGCGTGACACAAAAATTCAGGTTATCGAGGTGTGTGTTTCCTCTCTATATATCTCTTCTCTGGGGCTTCGGGCATCGTGTTTCCGCACAATTTTTCGTTTTCCCAATTTCCACTCGTGTTGATATAATTGTATATCAACACGGAAAATGTTTTATATTTGTTAATTAGTTTCTGATAGCAGCAGGATATCGGATATGTAAAAGACTTCGTATATGCCCGCAGAGTTCCATTTCGGGCACATATAGTTTTATAATATTCCAGGATGTAATTTATAAGACGTTTCGGTTTCCCACACGAAACCGTTTTCAAAGACATGAAGCGACCACAGAATGTGAACGCACCGGAAGACAGTCACGCAATCGTGCGCAGCTGACGCAAGATATAAGCATCAAAGGATAAAATGAAAAAAACGTTCAAGTCTCTGAAACTGGTTTTCGTGTAACCGAAACGAAACGTTAGACAAAACTTATTTAATTTAATTTTGTAAAATCTAGAAGAACAAATAAAACAAACAAGAAATAAATGAACCTGGATTCAAACGTTTTAATGTTTTCTTAGACCTACCTGTTGATATTTCTTCTGCTATCTGAGGAGAGGCGCTTGAGGAAACAGCATCTTCAGGTTTCTAGAAAAATATATAATTAAACAATTTAAACAATATTTTAGCATAATTTAATGTTGCAAAAATGCTCAATGTGGAAATAAATCTTGTACACATGCAAAATGGCGTCATATACACTCGCTCAGCCTACGCCATATAGTTCAAAAATGCAAACAACTATTCTTGTATTTGGAAAACCCAAACAAACAAAAAATTAAACATTAATTGCATGAATTTTATTTTGCAAGATTGTTTGGAAATTGATCCAGTTTTTTTTATTCATGCACTCTGTATATAAAAATATTCTGACAGTACTTACTTTTTCGGGTTGAAGTAGTTTGTAGTAATCAAAATTTTCATCTTTCTTTAAACTCCCTGCCGGTTCTTCTGAATCAACAGTTTTGAGTAACTCGCAATTTTCGTCTGCTTCAGAAGTTAGTGTATTCCTGAAGTTAGCAGATCTGCATAATATCTCTTGAAGCACGCATTGTAAGATGCAATCCAGTCCAGACTCTGCGTGAACATATTTGATTATCTTTACAGTGTCCAAACGATGACCTTTTAAATGGTAAGATACGTAATAGAAAGAAGGTGACTGATTTTGGAAGACAAAAAAAGTAAAACTGTTTGAGAGTGGCTTGGTTATCTTTCGACATTTGTTAATTTTTCGGTATTCCAGTTGCAATTTTTATGTCAATTACATGCAGTAATTATCGCTATATCATTATCTTATCATTCGAGGAGGGGCTTTCTAGGGTAAGCCAGGAGCGAGCGTACTAAATCCACCAGGGTGCACGTTTACACTCGGGGGAAAAAACAGCATTGGCAAAGTCTATAAAGTGGTGACATGCTTCATTGTGTCTTGCTTGTCAGTAGTGAGAAAAGGAAAGTTTCAATTTTCATTCAAGATACAACGAGCTTTAATTTAATTAATTTTTTGTTTGAAAAAATTAGAAGAATTGATATAATATGGTTCAATGTTTTTGCTAATATTAATAACTTTTATTACTTCAATATTTTCATAAAATCTTCATAAACTTTGATAAACGCCTTTATTGAAGGTGACAACGCCTGCCGTTGATGGGTAGCACATGCAGTCGTATTTTGTTCACAGCTTTTGAAAAATCGCAGTGAGTTGCGATAAATTTCGATCACGATCGAAATATTTGCAGCTTGTCGCAGTGAAGTTGCACTGGAATTGCAATTAAATCGCAGGGTGTTTACATTGGCGATTTCATGTCGCCATCACGTCAGCAGAAAAAATCGCACTTAAAATCGCAGCAAAAATTGCAAGTGTAAACAGGCCTTTATAATCATGTTAGTACATTACATCAAAACACACACACAAAATCACTATACGAGGCATTTCAATATGTAAAAATACATACGAGGCATTTCAATATGTAAACATACATACGAGGCATTTCAATATAAACATACATAAAACGACAGGGGCGGATCCAGCGTTTTGGATGACAGGTTTACTAGGTCCACACAACCACTTCATGGGGGGTCCGGGGGCCTCTTAAACAGCATTTCCTGCGCTCTGGCGTCATCTTTTCAATTAATTTAATAGTAAGAAAATACATGTTTTTAAGGGAATTTTGGACTAATATACGCAGCTCAAACAATAAATTGAACCTTTTCGGAAACTTATTAGCTGGTGATAAAAATATAGGATTGGAAAATAGCTGACGCATCGATATTTATTATAAGTACAACAAGTAGAGATGCTTTCAATATAAACATAGTTGTAATTTTAGATCTATACGCTTTCAAACCAACCGCTTTAACAATGAAATAGAAACCAAACTGCAAGAGCGTGAAAGCTTTACATGCAATTATTTCCTGGTTCTGTATCGCGAACGCAATGATTCGGTCACGCAATATTATAAGAATTATACACATATTTCGCGCTATGTAGACTGTGTAGAAGTTACACGTATAAACATCGATGCGCTTGTTGACGGATCGATATATATTTATTATACAGTAAGTAGAAATAGCTTACAGTTATAACTTTAGACTATATACTTTTGAACAAACTTTCAAAATGAACAAGAAATCCATGTAAATGCTTCTATCGACAACGCAATTTTCAGTCACGCAAAATTATGAACATATTTCGCGCGTCCTCGAGTTCTGTTAACTTTCTTTCCCAGATTTCTCTAAATACTGCTCGACTCACAGGTTTATGACCGGTTTACATCCGTCGGAGCGCAGCCGTTTAGCCAATCGAATGGCGTATCGACCGGTTTACTCTCATTATATTGAGAAAACTCTGACCACCGGTTTACTCATAATTGCGGGCGGTTATGTGTGATTCATGCGATGTTTCAGTCCACGACCCACGACGATACATTAGCAGATTATTTGTCTAGTATTACAACATTTCGTAAGAGGAAACCAACGCGATAAGTCCTTAATTAATTAAATGCTTATTGTAAGTGGGTCTAAATACGCTCAATAATCCAGAATCAAATTTCAGTAAGAGTTTTTAAATGGCGTAATAGATTAGACAACATCAAGTTTATGAAACAGAATATTCTTAAATTAGTTATATATGTACATGGAAGGTCATAGATTTTCTTTCTTTGGAAAATATGGCAGGTTTATATAAACCTGTCAAACCTGTCTGAATCTATAGCCTGCTCACAGACGTTGTAGTTCTTACGCCAAGCGACGAAATACTACCGTCTGCTTACCCGAGCGCCAAACTGAATTCCGCTACGTCGACCAATCAGAATTTACCTTTCATATTCTGGAAAGTGACGTCAGTTGATTTAGGAGCGGAATAAATATAAATATATATTTTGAAAGCAGTCGTCGGTTGAATTTTGGTAAAAATTGCACATAAATTGAATTTAAAGATACTGATACTTGTCCAGGTAATAAAATGCACCATTAATGGTCAGATATGGATATTAAAGATGTTCGGTTATATTTAAAACGCGGACAGGTTTGGCATATTTATGCTGTATGAATCTTAGCCAAACAGCATCAAATGCCGAATATATTTCGCTGTAATTTTAACGGTTAATCTCTATATTAAATTAAAAACAACAGAACTCGGAAGACATAAAATTTTATATAATACTGTGGCTTAGAAAGCGAAATATTAGCTTCAAAGTAAACTAATTTGCTGTTTGAGCAACCACTTCTGAATGTAAACTGTAAACACAACACAAACCCGAGAAACTTGCATTGCAATTGCGCCGTGATGAATTTTCCAATTCGCCCAAACTTCGAAACGTTTATACTCTAACTTGGCTATACTTTTCTACATGACAATGAGAGCTTAATCTTTTAGAAGTTTTCGTCGAAGTCATGGCATATAGGAAGTATCAAGGGCAACATTTGGACATATCCTGATATATTATTCGAGTTTCCCGATTGAATGTTTGTCATTGTTAACAGACCTTAACAAAAATTCAAATTTCGCCTACTGCATTGCTTTAGCACTTTATATACACCGATTGTTTGCTGAACATGCGAGAAGATGATCACAATATTATTCTACTTAAACCGATAGTGAAGTTCAACGCTATAGTTTCCAAAATATATATCCACGCAAGTAAACAAATTTCAAGTTTCAACCCAAACAATATATTCCAATGCATGTGCAAGGGGTTTCCCCTGTAGCTAATCTCTCACTAAGGCGGCTTCCAATTGGCTCTAACTTTTTTGAACACTGCCAGATGATTGGCTCCTAAAACAAAGGGAATAGAATATGCAGCTCAGGTAAGCAGACGGTAGTATTTCGTCGCTTGGCGTAAGAACTACAACGTCTGTGAGCAGGCTATTCTGAATCCGCCCCTGAATGACATACCTACAGCTTATATTTAGGAATATTTTAATTTTTGCATAGTTAAAAGTAATGAACTTTTTACTACATAGAACGTTTGCATCGTCACAGCCGGCACTGTTGGTGTTTCAATTCAAAA